AACCTAATTGGCCATCTATGTGGCTGCTTTCTGTCTCTTTCTTCAGAGGTCAACTGATATCATTGTGAGAGATTCATTTAAAACTATCCTTTGTTCCCTTTCTCTTCCCTTTTGCCTTCCACCTCTCCCTAATCCTTTTTGCTGAGGAGAACTCCTTTCTTAGGTTTTAGTTAACCAGCTGCCAGAGGTCAAAGTCCATTGCAATGTTCTCCGAAGAAGAAAAAAAGAAGACACATCCCTGGCATGGATTTCCTGCCCATTCACTCCCTATTCCCCTTTTTCTCTTTTAAAATCTCTTCATTCCCTAAAATTCCCTAAGATGTAGATCTGAGATGAAAAGTCTCCTCTGTCTTCTTCAGAGAAAACTGAATACAACTGATGTCCTCCACTAACTTCTCTCTCCTGGGTTTCTGGTTGAGCTTCAGGAAGCAGAAATATTTGACTAGGGTAACACAATGAGACAAAAGCCCTATCCTAAATTGCATTGTTGGTGTGGCTTAAAGTCCCATTCTAAGTCACATTGTTACTATCTGTCTGTCCCAAAGCCCCCAATTCCAAGAATTCAATTCCAACAATGTAGAAGACAGAGTTAAAACCTATTCATTAAACTCATAATTCCCAAACTAGTAGTTATTGCCAGAACTATTAAAATGGAATGAGAAAAGGAACAAATAAGAGACTGTTCTGGGAAACAAACATTTAATGATATCTTGCTCTTCAGGGAAGTGACCAGAGGCCTTTGAAAACTAATCTAGGAATACACAACCATACAGCACAGATCTAAACTAAACTAGTCTCTTACCACGACTTCCCTGTAAACTGGAACATTTCTCTCTCCAAAATGACAGGCTCCTAATTAAACAAGACATTCCAAAGGTTCAGGGATTTCCTCCCAGACCCAGGAGTAAGGCCAGATGTCTCTGGGAAAGGTTAAATTCTCTGCTGCACATACAGTCAATCCTACTGGTTCATGAAACCAGTGTTTGACGTCAATCATGACACCATGAACTGGTTTGCTGAGGGAATAGCTGGCAATCTCCATGATAAGAATGTCTGGCAGTGAAAGATGCATATTCCTTAGTTTTCTCTTTATTCATTAAACATGTATTTAGAACACTAAACAAATAAAACAAAACAAGATGTTTTTTATCCTGTTTTTCTTTTCAAAAAATTTTTTTTCTTTTCAGTGGTACTAAAAGCTTCTCTTTTACATTTTAAAAGTTCAAACATACTAACTTTATATCAAGAGATATTTGTATACCTTATTTATTTCCTTTGTTACTCTAGATATATAAGTTCTATAGCTTAGAATTTCAAGATTTCCCATTCTATTTCTTATAAGCTGCTTATGACAAACAAAAATTTTTTAAGATTTTTATTCTAGGACATTTCTTCAGTTTATTTGCCTGTGGTATGAAACAGAAGTACCCTTATTTTTCCATGGAGCCCTAGTTTTGAAGATCCAGGGCAAATTAAGCTCCCTACCGTAAAGTAAGCTCTATGAACACAGGGATTTTTTTCCTTTTTCTTTTCATAGCAAGAAGATGTTTTAGAGTGTTGTAAATTTATTTGCCATTAGAAAATATCCTCCATATATGATTTTGAGAAATATCAGGGTTTGATGTGTCACACATTAGTACTTTAGCACAACTTGATTAATTGCAGTATAGTATACGTTCTAAGTAGTTATATGACTTTGGGCAAATCATTTCATCTAATATAGATTTTGTAATCTGCAAAATGAAAGACTTGGACTATGTCATGATATATAATTCCCAGGCTCAACATTTTTGTGACTCCATTAAACCTTTTTTAAATTTTTATTTATTTGGTGGGGGGGGGGTACCGGGGATAGAACTCAGGACCTTGTGCTTGCGAGGCAGGTGGCAGCACCACTGAGCTAAATCCCCAGCCCCCCCAAAAAAAATTTTATTTTTATGAGTTCATGTTTGCAGTACATAATGATTACATTCCTTGTGGGTAATTGGTGCATGTACATAACACATTTTAATTCTTTTTTTATCCTACCCCACCCCACCCCATCTCTTAAGCCCCTTTTTATTTCTTTTTTACTATCAGACTTTTAGTTTCAGTGCCCATCACATTGTTTGACACATACATATGCTCAGCACACATTTGTTGTGTCAAATGACAGTTTTCAAAGAGTTAAAAGCCTTACTTTGCACAAATTGAAAGCAAGCATGTATCAAGGATTTATTATACTCATTAATGACAGAAACATCAGGGGAGGAAAGTTGATTCTAAAATAGGCACTGAAAAAGTACTAGCAAAAGATTTCTAGATTAGATTTTTTAAATGATTACTGCAGTCCAAGACAATAACTTTGTAACCATTGTGCTTTTTTTCCCCTATTGCACAGGAATCATGTTTCTCTACTTGGGTAAAAGTTCATTTGTTTTGTTGTAAGACAAAGATCATTTTCAATGATATCAGTTTTCCAGAAGTTGATACCTACCCTTACAGAATTGTAAAATATTCTAGTCTATAGTAAAAAGTATGCAAATGAAGTATTCTTAGTAATATTAGAGAATTTAATCTCATCCATCAGGTCAGAAGACTAAGCAATATCTCCCACTGGATTTCCAAATACAGAGACAATGAATTGTTTATTGGTCAACTTTATATCAAGCCAGGTGTTTTACTTCAAGTTACTTTTGAGTTACTTTTGGTCTGTGTTTATTTAAATTCAGATATATAGTAGATAGCCAATAAATATTTGTAGAATTAATTTTCAAAAGGCAGCTTATCTACATATTCTGGATTTGAAGGAGTCATGTCCACATAACTTGCTCCTGCAGTACCACTTGCTCTTAGAGGACCTTGAGGAATAGTGGGAAAACTGGGGCTGTGAAATCAGACTGACATGGTTCAAATCGGAATTCTGCAGTTTACTGCTTACATAGCTTCCAGAAATTCAGTTAACTCCTCTAAGCCTTAATTTCTTTTTGATAAAATGGGGATAATATCTACCTTGACAGTATGTTGTCAGCATTGACATATATAAAATGTTCATCATAACATGCAAAATACACATGCATTTTGTGATAAAATGGCAGGATGCAGCCTAGAACATGTTAAATTAGAATTTAACCATCGTCTAAGAAAAATATTGGGAAAAAAATCACAAATGATGAGAGGTCAAAATGGAGATATAGGACTAACTCCCTTGTTTAGTATCTGTGACAGTTTTCTATTCTGCAAATAGAATGAAATCCTTCTCCTTTTTATCCTATTACTCTTATAACTCTAAGAATTATTTAGGATATAGTTTGGGGAATTTATGATTTGGAGATAGCAAATCATCTCTTTATGGCTCGCTGGCTTTCAAAGTCCAAAAATACTGAAGCTGAATCAATATTTCTAAACTATTGGTTTCTGTTTAAGTTCTCAGGTATTCTGGTTACTTTTGCTGTATACAAGTCCACAAATTAGAGACTTAAACCAACAAAATTATTCTGTTCATACATCCAGTGGGTATGAAATTAAAGAAGCCATTCCAGGGATGGTTTGTCTCCAGGATATCTGGGGTTACAATTGGGAAAACTTGAAGACTGAGGTTGACTTAATGACTGGGAGCTGAAATTATCTGAAATTTGTTCACTCATATGTGTAGTGCCTGTCCTGGGCTGTTCTAAAGACTAGGGATATAATCTCAGCAACTTGGGAGTCTGAGGCAGGAGACTGCAAATTTGTGGCCAGCATAGGCAACTTAGTGAGATACAGTCTCAAAATAAAAAATAAAAGGGGTAGGGCTGGGGATTTAGCTCAGTGACACCGCGCCTGCCTTGTAAGTGCAAGGTCCTGAGTTCGATCCCCTGTACCAAAAAATAAATAAATAAATGGGGTAGAAATGTAGCTCAGTAGTTGAGCAATTACCTACCATGCATGAGGCCCTAGGTTCAATCCCCAGTAATACACACACGCACACACACACACACACACGCACACACACACAACTGGAACTGCATGCTATAGTATTAAGGCCTCTCTACATGCTTTAGCTCATTTTCAGCACAGAGGCTTCAGAGTACTTGGACTTCTTACATGGTGACTCAAATATTCAGACACAGGTATCCCATCAGACAAGGTGGAAGCTGCATTGCCTTTTATGATCACCTTGAGAGGCATATAGCTTATCTCCTGTGTACTCTTGGTTGAAGCCATCAGGACTTTTCCAGATGAGGGGACATAGACTCTACCACTTAGCAGGAAGGAGGCAGGATGGCATTGTAGAAAAGAGAGAGGGATAAGAGGTATTGTTGTAGCCATCTCTGGGAAATAAAATTTGAACAATGGATGATTCTGTAGAGGCTTAATTTACATTACAATATGAAATAAATATGTTCTATGGTTGTCAAGGTTATTTCCTTGTAATTGAGCTATTGTCACTGTGCTACTGTGAGCTAGTCATACGTAGTTGTCTTTGAGATGGGCCTTTCTTTTATTCCTTTTTCCTAATGTTGCATTTTCCTAGTGTAGGCTCATTACCCCACTGATTAAAACTTTTAACATTTAGTATATTCTTAGTTTCCAAGTCATTCTCTCAGGTGTCCATCAATTCATTGTTAATGGTTAATTTAAAAGGCCTTTGAACCATGACTGCATCTGCCTAAGGCAGATCTAGGTGTCAACCTTGGAAAAATCCAATGACATTCAGCTGTATTCCTTTAGGCATCAGAAATGTGTTTTCTATCATATGGTATACTATAATTTGTCAAAAGAGAGCCAGAAATTGTGCTTTTTCCACTTAACACTTGAAGTGTTAAACGAGTTTTACTAAAATGTATTAGAATTTTGGCAATGTATGCTATGTAAGAAGTAAAATACAAAATATAAAACAGAATAATCTTTTCTTCTCCGTTGGACCTCCTCACTTAAAATCTCTCTTTAATCCCCAGTTATTGTAATAATCAGTATACAAATGAAAAACATTTTGAACTCTTTAATTGACCTGGATTTACTGTCTTTCTGTGTGGCAGGTGGTGAAATTTACCAAATCCTTTGAATTGTTGTCCCCAAAGTGCAGCGGTGATGCTGAGAACAGGTAGGACCTGTGGGATTTATGTTTGTCTTTTGATTCTCTTTGGCCATTGGTGTTAGCAATGTTGCATAATTCTCTAAGAATTCTCTCCTTTCTCTATATCAGCAAGTGCAGTCAAATGTTGCTCTTTTATATTTCAAATCTTAAATAAAAACTCTAGCTGAAAAATGAATGAGTATACATTCAGCTTGCAAACAATTTTTAAGACTAAATTTTACATAGTACTTGTAATATGATTAAAATTTTGTCTTTAGTTTTTAGTGTCCATTTTTTCTCAACCTTTAAATGGTTTAAAATAGATCTTAAAGTATTCTGCTGACTTCTGAATTTGGAATCCAAGTTCTTTATGTTGGTTAATATGGCATAACAATGAAACAAACATTTTTTTTAAGTCCCCAGCTTCAGTTTCTTGCAGCACCAAGAACTTGACTGAAACTGCTAATCAACTTTATTTATTTGTTTGTTTTCGTGCTGCTGAGGACTGAACCTGAGGTCTTCATACCACATATATCCTCAATCCACTTTAATTTTATTTTTAATTTTGAAACAGGATCTCACTAAGTTGCTAAGTTGCCCAAGTTCCCCAACCTCCAAGAATACTGAGATTACAGATATGTGTCACCATCCCCGACTTCAATTTTTATATATTCCATAATTATGTAGAAACCTAATTTTTTGCTTTATTCTGGCCCTTTATTTCTCTTCCTCCCTTTTGCTTAATTATATTTGGCCAGTAACATCCCCTTGGAAAATAGAGTGCAAGTTCCCAGTAATTCGCTGTTTGTCTTTCTTGTCTTCTTTAACTACAACAGTAAAAGTGAGGCTTAGGGGCAGCCAGCAAGTATCTCTTACCTTTTTCTGCCCTAGATTTGCTCCAAAAATTGACTCTCTTTACTTTGGTTACTTCTGGAGGAAGGGCTAAAATAATGAAATTGGCTAAAATACAGAGCTCTGAAGAAAGGCAGGGAAAAATGCCCAGGATAGTGTGAGGAGGAAGGCAATGATGGTGACTCTGACACTGATACCAACAGTATGAAGAACTTCTGTTTGATGAGTGCTGTATGTGCCAGATACTATACTATGTTCTTTTATATGTGCTTCATCCCCAAATCAATCTTTACAGTAGACACTGTTCCTCCTGCAGGACAGAGGACTAAGGCTCAGCAAATTGAAATAACTTTCTCAAGCCCCTGTAGTCAGTAAACAGTAGCCCCACATCCAAAGGTGAGATCACCTCTCTTAACCTCGAGACTTTGATCCCTTTGCCTTACACAATTTCAAATCTCGTAGCTGGTCCCATGTAGTAAAAATCTCTTGGCTTAGTGTTTCCCAAATCTGGTTAATCAATCAGAATCAAACTTGGAGAATTTATATAAGCTAAATTCTCAAGATGCTCACTGAGAGATATTGATCCAATATGTTGAAAGTAAAGTCCTACAGATCTATATTTTTTTATTCTTTTTATTCCCCCATTAACTTTATTGGTACATTTTAGGTATAAAATACAGTTACATTCATCACTGGGATCTTATACCATTACATGAGTCTCTTGGTTCTTATTTTTTTTTCCCCTTTCCTTGCCCTCCCTTCACCCCCTCCACCCTTCCCTATTTGCAAAGACCTTGTTTCCATTTTTTTCCTCTTCTCATATTTTTTCCTTTCCCTTTTTTCC